CACGGGCCCTGGGGACCGGATGACAACGGCCGCGGCTGGCCGGGGTGCCCCGCGCGGGAGAGACGCCGGCTCGACACAGCTCCGCAGTGTTGGGCTGGGTCTCGAGTGGTGGCACTCGCGGCGGCGCCGTGCCGTGTCGTGGACGGCCGTGTGACGTGTGGTGACATTGTGGAGCGGCGATACCGCTGGGGAGGGGGCGATAAGGGGGGGGGGGGCGTTGAAAGGAGAGCGCGCACAGTTGCATTACACGTAACTGCAGAGGTTGCAAAAACGTTACTTTTCAATGATGCCACATTGTCACGCACCGCCGCTGGACTGTCAGCGTCAGCTTTGTCGCGAGCATGATCGTCTGTAAGAACTACGGGTTGATAACGCCTACTGCTTAAGTTATCAATTGCACACTTGTTCAAGCCTTTATCGTCCATCTCGTGCCTGAACCACTCAGAGAAGAGATGCGACTGGATCATAGGCGAAGGAACGTTTCAAAAAGTGGGGAGGGGGGGGGGGCAAGCTCAGGATGTACTCTAGGAACTTTTTCTGGAAAGCGAGCCCGATGACCGGGGGGGGGGGGGGGAGATAAGGATGGAGATTGTTATCGCCCTTTATTCAAATGTCATGGCTACTATGCTAGCTATGTATCTAGAGCTGTTTATCACTGCTGCACAATTTTGCCTATTCGACTCATCTGTCATTTGACGGAATAAGACTATCCAGCTTCCCTAGATATCGTCCATTTTAACACTGTCTTTCCTGGGGAGACGAAATTCCACGAGCGGGTAAGTATTTTGGGTCATTAAGGAAGCATTTGCCTCCACAGTGTAGATGCATGGATATACGGCATGTACCTTGTAGAGTAGATATACCGCATACGGATACGGCATGGATATAGACTGGTGATAATTTTGAAAGTGGATCGATGGTTCCTAGTGCGCCAGGTTTTTCATGCCCCTTCATTTCGCTGGCTGCTTTTCAAGAAATAAGGCTTGTCGCAGCATTTTAAGCGGAAACAAATTCGGGAGTTTGAAACTGTTAGAAACAATGTGACAAAGTCCAAAAAACTGGAGATTCTCTTTTAAGAATCAAGCCACATAATAAGGCCCATCTGTCATATGTTCCTTATCTGGGCCTTGCTCCTGTCCGCCGTCGGTAGTCACTGCCCTGGCCTGGATGCCTCCTGCATGACTGACTGCGAGCTGATCGTGTGACTACTTTGTCGCATACTTTTGAATCATTGTTACTTCTACATGGTGCATGAAACGTGTGTTGCACACCTGCAACAGTATTGTTTTCAGAATTATCTTCCCTTATACCACACCACCGCAGGAAAATAGCCTCCGAGAAGCTGTCTGCCTTAGGTATGGATTGGTCCAACGGACACTTCATTGCCCATCACGCAACGTACGCGACTTCATTTGTTTTTGCGTGTAGGCAGGGGAGTAGCCAGAGCCTTGCCAAGAGGGAACACAGGGTTGACAAAAGCCCATCTTATGGTGACACCCCCCCCCCAAAAAAAAATCCCGGATATGGCTTACTTGTTAACAAGTGACACGGTTTTCTTCGTTTTATTGTTATTTTTGCCTTGTAACCAGAACAGAAACCAGGAGCTGCCGTGGGCTCAATTCTGTTTGCATTTTCAGGTCAATAAACTGCAGAAATGGGGCGTTCAACGACTGCATGGAAGAAATCACCGAAGCTCTTAATTTACAATGATTAGCTGAGTCTTTCTAAACCGATAGAATTCGGAAGCTTTTTTCAATTTTTATCTGGGTTCTGTAGACATTGGGGACATCGCGAAGGTGGATTGTAGATTGTTATGCTTGATCCAAATTGAAGACGAAAATTTGATTGCAAATCGAGTGGTCAACAATATGTATTAACATGGCCAAACCATGTTTCTCTGAAAACATTCACCTGTAGTCAGGATCGATTAGTGATACAATTCATGTAACGTGTTTTTCACCATGCTCGCTCGCAAATCTTAGCAACAAAAACCTCGACATCAGGCGTTGCAGTCTCCGTAGTCCGCGGAGCGTTAGTCCAGTCGCTAACATTTAGCCGTGGCCCACCGGTGGATGAAAATGACGATGCTTCTAAAATGATTACCCTTAAACACTTTAATTAACTAGTTATACAAGCTATGTGGCGCAACTTTGAGCATGCTCACTAAGATTTTTTACAGACACAAGCCTCGCCCCCAAGGCGTTACAGCCTCCGTAGGCCGCGCAGCATCGGCCGAGCAGCTAACATTAAGTTGTGGCCAACGGGATGACGAAAATGACGACGCTTCTGGGAAAGTATCCTTGGACGCTTCATGACATCAGACCTGGTATTTAGAAGGCAATCTGAGGGCATATTCACGCGTGCAATTTCTAGATTGATGAAAAAAGGATGGGCCCCTAAAGCACCGCGAAGTGGGGCTGGAATCTGGTGGTTGAACCGGAAGAGTGAAGGCAAAATCTCTATTTTCGTGTTTCCGCAGCTATATATCTGTCCGGAAGGCAGATTAACACGACGCCCGCCGTCTGGTGGCGCTTGCGGTGGCCGAAACTTATCGGTTTTACGGAAGTTGCAACCTAGACCATCATTGTCCTTGCTCTCGAGGTTGCGGGCAGGCATGTTCAAGCCTTTTGATGTAATTTGTTCCAATAGTATATTCTGAAAGAAATGGACGTTCTCAGGCGAATAAGGCATGACCTTGCCCGTTGTTTAAAAAAAAATCATTTCGACCCGTGCTTTTTAATAATAATGAGAGCCCCACTCTACTCAACAATAATGAGACTTCTTATTCCCTTCCGGGCAAGGGGCCTCTTGACTAGAACACCAGGGGTACATTGCCGTTTCCGGTCAAGGGCTGAAGGGCCATTCTGTCCCGTCGCGAAATGTCTTCTGGCTATCATTCTGGTGGCACGGGGCGGATCTCCTGGTCGATCCGGAGGTTATTAGAAGGATATATCATATCGCATTGTTCCCATCCCTAACACGGGAGGCCTTCTGACCCACGCAGTCAGCCCCGGATCGGCACAGGGACCCTCATTGACGCAACAACATCCCTGATCACCGCTGGCAGTCCGATATTTTTCACGTAGACTCCAGTTCCATGTTTCTCTGTGTTCTTCAGAGATATTGAGTTCTCCCTGACTGTAGATTGCAGATGAAATGGGGTTCATAATTTGTAACATCACGGCTAGCCCATGTTCGTCTTATAATGCTCAAGATCCTGTTAGAGCTGAGTATTGATAAGAAAACTGCGTGATATGGTGTTGAACATGTGTGCTCGCAAGTCATAGTAATAACAGCCTCGACGACCGGCGTTGCAGTCTCCGGGCCGTGCGGCGTCGGCCTTGCGGCTGTAACGCTAAGTGATGAAGTAGGTAAATCGGCATGCATGTTTAGTGCAGTGCAAAAGTAAGCCAAATGCAACTTTAATCTGAAAAGGGGGTGGCAGTTCACAATGCTGGCCCCCTACCTTGAAAAGTGGGGGGGGGGGGCATGGCCCCCTGCCCCCCTGTTCCTACGCCCATGGACTGGATCGATACCGCGTATGTTCCCATCCACGACCGCCGGTCGTGAGGCGAGGCGAAGCGTCGACCTTCGTGACCCGGGCGAGGCCGGCTTACCATGTAGGTCTGTCTCTTATGCCGCAATCGCCAGCCCATTCACGCTTATACATTACACAGCCAGCCAACAGTGCTTCAATCGTCTGGTTCAATGTTGCCAATAGTACCGCTGTTCAGTGCCTAAAATTATCCGTCAGCGTACATATTTGGAAAATCAAGCTACTTACGCACGGGCGTTTTCGCTGGCGGTACCTAACCAGTGAGTCATGGGCTTGTGGGCCATTGGAATAACATGAATGTTATTGGAGTGATGCGTCATTCGTCAGATCCCGGCCGAGCACTGGGCCGGGTGAAAGGGCCCACGAGCGCGGAGCTAAGATGGCAGGTAAATGTCCGTACCGGGTCCGCCGGCTCCCTCCCGTTGGAAGAAGAGATACACAGGCGTTGTGAAGCATCATATTGGTGCATGTCTTACCAGATTAGCACAACTTGTACAGAAATTTACATGCGGCCTGGCCAGTCACACTTGATTTCTCTGACACCGCACCGCAAATGTTGTCATCTACTCTCCCCTGTCACGAACAGAGCTGCGTCCATTTTCTAGCAGGAGATCCGAAGACGTGTGCTACTGCGACGTGAGGTCACACAGGTCACTACGAAACTGAAGACTGATGATCCAAAAGAGCGCTGCCAGCTGTGATCCATCTCCCCGCCGAGCCCCGCCCGCCGGCGTGGCCTTTTTCGGCTCCGGACTGACAGGGTGGGGGCTGGCACAGGGCTCCGCTGTGGATGAGCGGCGGTTTGACTTCGGAGGTCACGTTCTCACAACGCCACTCTCACACCCAGGTGCGGACCACACCACCCTCACGCCCAGGTGCGGACCACACCACTCTCACGCCCAGGTGCGGACCACACCACCCTCACGCCCAGGTGCGGACCACACCACCCTCACGCCCAGCCTCGGATCACGCCACTCTCACGCCCAGGTGCGGACAACACCACCCTCACGCCCAGGCGAGGATCACGCCACCCTCACTCCAAGGCGCGAGCCACATCACCCTCACGCCCAGGTGCAGACCACACCACCCTCACGCCCAGGCGAGGACCACACCACCCCCACGCCCAGGCGAGGATCACGCCACCCTCACGCCAAGGCGCGGACCACGCCACCCCCACGCCCAAGCGCGAACCACACCACCCTCACGCCCAGGCGCGGCTCGGAGAGTCGGAGCACGTGACCCCGCCTGAAGCGGCGCCGGGCCGTTCTCTCGGCGGCGCCTCCTCGGCGGCCGGCGGCGGGCGCCCACCCGTCCGCGGCGGCACCGGGCGGCCGGGCGGCGCGACCCTGACTGGCCGGTCGCTCTCGTCGGAGCGAGCGGCGCGTGCGCGCGTCCGCCGCCGCGCGCCGGCCGCCGGCCGCTCGGCGCCCAGCGCCAGTCAGCGGCCGGCGGCGGCAGGAGGCGCCCGGACAGTGCTGGAGCGGCCCGGTGACCTGTCCCGGAGCTACAGGTGAGGCGCCCAGCGCCTGGCGTCGCGCGGCTGTTGCCGGGCGCGGTGTGGTTTCACCTGAAGTGCGGCGCTGGATCGGCGGTGGTGGTGTGACCTCGAGCGCGGGCCGCCAGCCAAACGTCCGGCACTCGCCCGCCTGTATCGATGCCCGGCCGACCGGGCGCCGGGCCCATGTCAAATATTTATACCGGCCGCGTCCGCGCCGGTGGGCGGCCCCCGGGAGAGAGAGAGGCGCTGGCGGACCGGGCGACAATGGACGGTCAGTGCGGGTCAGAGGGGCCGCAGCGGCGCTGCTGTGTGGCCCGGCGCGGTGGCGACGTGGGGACGGGCGCGGGTGACAGGGAGTCGATCGGCGCGGCCTGTCAGCAGAGGCGCCGCCCTGTCCCGGTTATGGGCGGCATGAGCCAGACCGGGCCGGCTGGGGGGCGCTGGGTCAGGTCTGGCTGTGGGGCGTCGGGTCTGGCCGTGGGACATCTAGTCTGGCTGTAGGGCATCGGGTCTGGCTGTGGGGGATCCGGTCTGGCTGTGGGGGTCCGGTCTGACTGGAGTGGGGTTGATGGGGTACGCCGCCCGACACTGGGCAGCGACAGTGATGCATTCAGATTTAGAGGAATGCTGGGAATTTGCTTATTTGGACGGATATGCTGGGGACTTATGAAAACATCACGAACCGCAGAAAGTCTAAAACATTCTTTTCGCAGTTCATAAGGAGTTAAAGGATCATGTGATCAGACGATACCGTGACCATTAGGCCATAGAGCGTATTAGTTGTCTGAGCTGGAATACCGGGCCTTAAAATGGACGTCGTGAACTTAATCTCGGGAGGGGTTGGATTATGAAATTGAACATCCCATTCAGGAAGTGCAAATCAGTACCTACTGGGATAAATGACTCGTGTCAAATGACGGTGGCTGACAAAGCTGGCCGGCGGCGGCTGAGACGCACGACAATGCTTTACTGGGAGCCAGCTGGCTTTGGTTCTCGAAGTGCCGAAGTGACGCACCACTTGGTAACAGGCGTAAAGAGACGCCCGACCACTGGATCTCGGCAGAGGCCTGCGTTGAAATGTCAGGACAAATGCTGCCAACGCCACCGCCACCAACGCTCAATAACGCGTTGGCTGATCTCAATTAGCCAAATGCCTTTGAATGCTATCGGGAGCAGTTGCTAGACGGGTCGTTCGTGTGATAAGATAGTCAGGCCGCTGGCAGGCTGCCAAAAAGTGGCCATTCAGCTTCTGCTGTGCGGTGTGACCTATTTCTTTACCAGGTGAGGCCGAGTTGTGTTTGCCTTTCGAAATGGTTCGGGAACTGGCAGGTGGGAGACTGGGGTGGGTCTCGCAGCCTCCTTTGGGCATATGCACTCGGTGGATGCGGCTTAATTCAGATATATTGATCCGAGCGCTCCAATGGGAAGGATACAACCGTCTGCCGTTCCTGGTCTCCCACTGGGAGTGTTAATCTATCTCTCTTGAGCCCTGCGCTCAGATGGAGATCCCGGTAGTCTCCTCTGCCTTTGCGCTGCGACGAGGAGGGTCCTGGGATGGGTTCTCCGCTGGACCCCTGCCTAAGGGAGAAACTTGACATCCAGAATGAGGCAGCGCAGGGCTGTCTCCACTGGCCCCCGTGGACTAATGGGGATGGTCTCCTTGCCTTGATGCCTCCCCTGGGCCTTATCGTGATGGAGAGGGTCTAACGGCCTCCTCTGGGCCTTTGTGCCCTGATGGAGAGGGTCTAGCTGCTTCCTCTGGGTGTCTGTGATCTGATGTCTCGAGAGGGTCTAGCTGCTCCCTCTGGGCTTCGGTCATCTGATGTGGTGGGGCATGGTGTCGCCAGCGAAGGGGTTTGGCCTCCGTTGCATGCTCATGCTTGAAATGGCGGTTTGATGAGGTCTATAAGCACGTGCCATGAGCGGTCGATGTGGGAATTTTTGAAGCTACACTTATTTACTCCTCTGGTATTACAGGCTATTTTTTAAGCTTGGTTCCTCTCGTTTACCTATTCGTATTCGGTCAGTTTGGGCCGGCAAGCACCTGTTGTCTCCTCTTCCCCGCATGTGGGGCGAACCTCTTGCTTCTTCCCCGGCCCCACCAGCGCTGTGGGGCGAACCCCTTGCTTCTTCCCCGGCCCCACCAGCGCTGTGGGGCGAACCTCTTGCTTCTTCCCCGGCCCCACCAGCGCTGTGGGGCGAACCCCTTGCTTCTTCCCCGGCCCCACCAGCGCTGTGGGGCGAACCCCTTGCTTCTTCCCCGGCCCCACCAGCGCTGTGGGGCGAACCCCTTGCTTTTTCCCCGGCCCCACCAGCGCTGTGGGGCGAACCCCTTGCTTCTTCCCCGGCCCCACCAGCGCTGGTAGTGTGCACCGGGAGCCTCGCCCGCCGTGTGGGACGGGCCTCCTCTCCCTCCGCGGTCATTCTCCGCTCTGGGCTCGGGTCTCTGGCGTCTCCTTCGCCGGTCACCTTCGGCCCCGCTCCCCGGCCGGCGCAGGCTGCCCGGGCCGGGGAAGGTGAGCTGTTGTTTCTCCGCCGTTTATGGTCGGCGGTGGACGGGATTATCCGGCGGTCTGGTCCAGCCGGCCGCCAGCCTTGACTGCTCCACGCCACCTGTCCACCTGTCCACCTGTCCACCGCCGCTGGCGCCGCCGACGCCGCCGACACCGCCCACCGCGTGTGGGTGTTCTGTTTGTGTACCCTGTTTGCGACGGTGGTTATGCGTTGACACGGCTGTCGGGCGGGGGGAGGGGGAGGGCGGATGAGGGGGAGGGGGTCGCGCGGGCCACCGTCAGTTCACAGCATTATCGCAGCCGCTTCAGGCCCGGCCATCTGGCTCTCAGATAGCTGCTGTCGCCATCCGAGCGGGCGGAGGCGGACCCATCACAATATCATCATATAATGCGGGCTATGATCATCGCGACGGCTTATCACGGTAGCTCGCCACACAGCAGGGCAGCTCACGGCGGTATCGTCTTACTGACGCAGGTCCACGCAGCATGTCGTTACACCAGATCATCACAAACCGCGCGGCGGCCGCCTGTCACCGCATCTAATTACGCCTTCGCATCGCGGGACCCCACCGCGGTAGACCACACCGCAGCGTATCATTGCAGCAGATCATCGCAGCTTCTCATTACGGCACCTGATCACGTGCTGCAGCAGACATCTCAGCACGGTATCTTATCATGGCGTCGGGCTTGTGTGCTCTGCCCCTGACGTGACCGTTCTGCTGCGATGCGTCTGTTCGCTCACGTTAGCGACTGAAGCATCCGTGCTGGAGGTTTCGGAAGCTCTGCGCTCCGTTTCCCAATCTCTGGGTTTATTCCGAAATGACGTACTTCGAAGCGATCGAAACGCGACATTTCCATCTTTTTCTGGAACGTTAATATGACACCGAGAACTAAGTGCGCATGATTCGTGAGGTACGATTTCTCTCGATGGCTTCCATTAATACCGAGGGCATATTCAACAATCACAACCTGAAAAGCATGGAACAAGTTTTCCCTCTTGATCTCCAAGTAACATTCAAAGACTCAAGCCGCATTTAGACCAGCAGTGGATTGGGTTAGCTGCCCTTCCGCTCCCTCTCATGATGTGCCCTCCAGATCCCTGAGGCTTCCTAGCCCTGCCTTTTAGTCACATCTTTCTATTCAGACAATTCGCCAAATGCCCCCAGATCCCGGAGACCTGAGCGGAAGTTTCCCACGCGTTTTACGAGCCTTCCGGCCCGCCCTGCACTCGGTGCTGGGCTGCCTCCTCGAGACTGCACCCAGCCCTGGCTCACCCGGTTCCGGCGCTCCAAGCTCGCCGTCGATCCAATACCGGCGCCCAGCAGCGGCGCAAGCGCCCCAAATTGCAATTAGATGCAGCGGCGCGCTGGCCGGTCGGCTGGCGTATTTTTGGCCGGCCGGCGGCGCGGCGGCCCGGAATAGGCCGCGGCTGAGTGACGGGGCTCGTCACCCGGCCGGTCGCTCGCGTGCGTGCCGAGCCGGGCCGGGCCGAGCCGGGCCGACGCGCGCGAACCGTCCCGACCCGACTCGGCCGCGCCCGGCTCGACCCGGCCCGGCCCGACCCGGCCCGGCCCGGCCCGGCCCGGCCCGGCCCGGCCCGACCCGACCCGACCCAACTCTACCCGACCTGACCCGAACCGTCCCGTCCCGACCCGACCCGGCCGCGCCCGGCTCGACCCGGCCCGGCCCGGCCCGGCCCGGCCCGGCCCGGCCCGGCCCGGCCCGGCCGTGCCCGGCCCGGCCCCGCCCGGCCCGGCCCGGCCCGGCCCGATTCTATCCGATCTGACCCGAACCGTCCCGATCCGACCCGGCCGTGCCCGGCTCGGTCCGACCCGACCCGACCCGACTCGGCCCGGCCCGGCCCGACTCAACCCGACCTGACCCGACCCGACCCGACCCGACCCACGTGCTGTCCTGTCCCGTCGCGACCCGTCCCGTCCCGTTCCAGTTCCCTCAGCCCGGTCCAGCTAAGTTTAGCCGCTGGCCGCCGGCAGACAGCTGCTCGGCTGGATCCATGACTCACGCCGGTTGAAGCGCGCTATGGAGAGCCCGCTGGACCTGCACGCTGGACAGCGGAGGACGGCCGACCTCCGGCGGTCGGGCGGGAGGGACGCAGGGCTGCGCCGAGTGACCGACCGACCGGACGGAGTCACTCCCCCGCAGCCCGTCGCGGCGCGCGCGCCAGAACTATTTCCATCTCCGGTTGCTGTTATTATTTGGGCCGGCGCTCTCGGCTGGCAGGCTGCAACAGGCCCGTCCGCCGCCCAGGTGAGCGTGCAGCGGGGACGGAGCCGGCGCGGGGCTCCGCTGGGCACGGCTCGCGCCGCCCCACGGCGCAGACTCGGCTCCGGCGAACCACACGGAGACCGCGTGACGCCGGGCGGGGCGAGAGAGCCGACGTGGGCGCACCGACATCGCACGTAAAGCTGGCCTGTCCGTGAAGAGCGCGCGTCGTCGACGATCGGCAGTGGTAGGCTGTGGTTGGACTGTCCGCGACCCGTGGCTACCTGCAGCGCCGCGCTCAGTGCGACGTCGGCCTGGACGTGAGTACGCGGCCGGCATTAGCACTCCCGGCTTTTGCTGGAGGCGTCTCGGCTACGTGGGAGGTGGGCAGGCGAGTGACGTCTCGTGGGTGTATCATATCGCCCGCGCACACGACGCATCGCCCTTCTGAAGACAGCAGCGCCCCTCGATTCGGAGAAAATGGGTGACCTTTGCGGTGCGCGATATCTGTGTACAGTGCCCTCAGCCTTATCTCGGCCCGATAGGTATGCTGACGGGCTTGTCTTCGCGAGCGGAACGCGCACGTCACGCCCACGTGGCTGCCGAGTCGGAGGCGGCCGCCGGGCCCGCCGCGGCGGTGAGCGGTGTCGACGGATCGGAAACTGAGCCGCGATCCTCTGTTCGACAGCATCGACACAGGCGGCCGGCGCGGCTCGCAGTCGGCCGGCGGCCGCTGCCAATGAAAATCTCGGCTGACGCTGGCCGCCCCACCTCTGCCGCCCAGGTCAACAAGCCCCGAGCCGATGGCTGCAGGCGCCGTGCACCTGCCGCCGACGCGTGCCCTGACCCGAGTCCGCCACCCCGCGCCCGGCGCGGCTCTCCTCCCTTCTCCACGTCAGACTCGTACTGAACACATCTGCGAGAAGCATTAGCTACCGTCACTTGCTGTTGCGCATCATTATGGGTAAAACATCCCAGGGCGCTGCGCGATGGCTCAGTTTGATCCCAAACGGCGACCGGGTGGCATTTCGTGTCGTTGGCTTCGGGCACTCACCGAGGCTGGCGCTCCACGAGGGCCTCCCTGGCGCTGCTCAGCGTGGAAACAACGCCACGCCCTGTTTGTTTGCAAATGAATAGAGTTTGGCAGGGTCGGCTGTTTTGCCAGCGGCTGGCGCCGGGAGACCCTGTGTCGGCGGCGATGAGCGAGTAGCGACAGTGGCGGAATTTAGGGGCCCATAAACCGGTCCAAATTAGACATAACCGCTCGACGTCGGGCTTGTCGCCTTTTTGTTGTTCCGACGTTGATTTGTGCGGTGTTTCGAAAATTCAGCGATGGAGGAATAATGAAGACGATTGATACGAGGTATTATGTCGAAACTGTCGCCGCGAAAAAGTGTGCATGGATAGAATACATACCTGTCATTTTTGTCGCGGAGCTTGACTGTCAGGAACTACCGAGCTTTGTAGTCCTGACGGACAAACTGTGTCACTTTTCTGAATGCAAATGTATTTCCTTTTTAAATATTATGACGTAAATTAGTGCTGTAGGTTTTCTCTAAAAGCTTCAAGCTGTTGGCACCCCGGATATCATTTTTGATTCTTGGGGCTCTGGGTTAAGTTTTCGGTGCTGTAGGTAAGCATTAGTAGCGCTTATGTTTCATATAACATGCAGCGTGCAGTGCAAGTGATGAGAGTCTTGGTCTTCATGGTATATGCATATTTGGAAAGACTTCTAAATCGCATATATCACGTGGATCGTGGCACAAACGGAGATCATGGCAGAAAAGGAGGGCCACTTCCGCCACTGTTTAGTGCTGTGGACAGTCGGCAGCTTCCCGTTGTGGAAGCGTTCCTGGGTGTCTGGGCGGGCTCCCACCTCTCCTGATGCGCTGGCTCCGCAGTGACCGGTTGGTTCCTTCCTCTCCCTTCCCTGATGCGTTCGCTCCGCAGTAACCTGTTGGTTCTCTCCTCCCTCCTCTCCTGATGCGCTCGCTCCGCAGTGACTGGTTGGTTCCTTCCTCCCTCCTCTCCTGATGCGCTCGCTCAGCAGTGGCCTGTTGGTTCCTTCCTCCCTCCTCTCCTGATGCCCTCACTCCGCGATGACCGACCAGCTCCCTGTTCGCCCCTCACCTCCTAGGGCTCGCACCTCAGGCCACCAGGCGGCTTTTGTTCTGCTTTACCTGAACCATACTTTGATGAGGAGGCCGGCGGACTCGGTCTGCCCTACTGGGACTTGGCTCCGTGATTGGGCGGGCTCCCCTGCCTTACTGAAACGGTGTCCCGGCTATTACGTGGTCCGCCCTGCGTTGATGAGCCCTTGTCTGCCTGTTGGTCGGGCTCCACCCCCCCCCCCCCCTCCCCCCTCCCGTGTGGAAACCGTGCCTCAGTCACTAGCCAGAGCTGCCCTGCTGCGTGTGTCGCGGACGTCAGTGGGTTCGGTAGTTACATAAGTACTCTACGTTCAAGGAGCAATCGAGGCAGGGCCGAGGTCTAAGCACTCATCCATGCCGCGCCCCGCCCTCCTTCTCACCCACACAAAGACATATTCCTTCAGTTACCCCCACTGTGAGCGTGCTCTGGTTGTCAGCTGGGCTCACCCCGGCCCTGTTGAGAGAGCATCTACGGGTTGCTGTGTGCTCGCCATCCTGCCCCCCCCCCCCCCCCCAAGGATGGTCGTCACCTGCGGGTGCCATGCAGCTCCGTTGCTCCGCTGGGGCAGAGTGCCGGATGTCGGCCGGACAGCGGCAGTCGCCGCCGACGCCCCGCAATGAGTTGAGACACGCCCTGTCGAGGTGCACGGCCCTCGCCCGGTGCTGACCTCCCCTGACCTCTGGCGCGGCCGTCATCGCCGTGAGTGAGTACATCCGGGAGCTGCTGATAGCCGGAGGGGTCTAGACCTGACAACGGGATGACGGTCCGGTGGGAGGTACCGACAAACTGGTCTCCGGGACGCCGTATGCACAGACAAGTCCGCTGCTCCGAAATAGGCTTCATGCCGCTCGGGGAGAGTTCAGTTTTGTGCCGTTCTCACGCGTGCTCGACGGAAGTGTGAGCGGTTCATGGGCGGTGAGTGGCATTTGCCGTCGCTACTGAGCCGTTGAAAGGTCACGTGGCTAATCGTGGATGGAGAATGTCGTATGGATGACAGGTGCGTCCTGTGGCGGCAGCCACGTCGGCCTCATTGAAAGCACCGCAGTTTTAACCTGTTGATTAATAAATGGTCGCTTCGGCTGTTTTGTTATGCTACCACTTGTGTACCAGTTCCGTCTGGCGACGGAATTTCTAGCGTGAAACCCTCGTCGGCGCGCAGACTCCGTCGGAAGCGCCTGTGCACAGTTCCTCATTGCATCTGTGCATGTCCGCCACTTGTGAGTTCCGTGTGCACCAAAACTCGTGTGGCGAACAACGCATTTCCGTTTCGTGGCGACGCGAATCGCCAGCACCCGACTGCGATTGCATACGTTGCCAACGGTGCGAAGGTGCGCCCCGACCGAGGCCCGCCCTTCCCCTCCCCTCGGCCACGCGGGTTACCCAACGCCCCCGATCGATGCCAGTGGAGCGGTTGCCGTACGGCCGGCGCCGGCCCGGGCTGGCGCCTCACCTCCGTATCGGGATTTCTCTCGCCGTGCACGGCCGCCTGCGGTGCCCGCTTCCCGCGACCGATGGCGAAACCCGGCAGTGTCGCGCTGCGGCCGCGCCGCCGCCGGCGACCCCGACCTGCCAGGTCACGGCCCGCGACGGCTCGGCCGGTGGCGGGCTCGCCGGCCACCGGCTTCCGCATAGGCGAGCGGCTTTCGCTCTCGGTGTCGGTCGACCGGTCGGCGCCCGTGGAATGTCGCCGGGTGCGGCCGCGCCGTGCTTACAAGTCAATTACCGGCAGCTGCTGCCGCCGCCGCCGCCGCCGCCGCCGTCGTCACCACCGCCGCTTCCGCCACCGCCGCCGCCATCAGCGGCGCGCTTGCGTAAGGTGCGTGCGGCGCGCGGCGGCGCGCGCGTTTCCTTATCGAGTGGTGACCTTGGAAGCGCGCCCCTCGGCCCGCGCCCCCGCAGGTGACACACAATCCGGCGGCGGCGAGCTCGGGCGCCGCCACGTGCCGCCCGTCGCGCCGACCGCGGCGGCACGTCCGACTGACGCCCCCTCGCCCTCCCCGCAGATGGTGCGGTAGCGGCGGGCCGGCCGGTCACGCGAGGTCATGGCGACGTCGGCGGGAGCGGCTCGGCCCGATGCCGACCCGGAGTCGGGGCGCGGCCGCCAGCGCGCCACCAAGCTCTCCGACCTGAGCGACTTCTTCGTGACGACGCCGCTGCTGGGCGGCGCGGCGGGGTCGGAGCGCACGCGCCGCCTGCCGCGCCTGTTCGAGCGCGCTGCCGCCAGCTGGTGGGACCCGCGCTTCGACTCGGACATCCTCGAGGGCCAGTACCGCGAGACGACCTTTCTGCGCATCAAGCGCCGCCTCCAGATCGGCGTCGTGTTCGCGCTGCTGGCCGCGATCGTGTGGTGCGCGTACGTGGGCGCTTTCCGCGACCTGCTGCTGCTGGCGCTGCTGGGCGTGCTGGGCGTGCTGCCGCTGCTTGTGGTGCTCGGCGTCAGCGAGACGGCCTGCTTGGAGCGCCACCTGGTGTCCGTGTCGGCGGTGGCGGCCGGCGCGCTGTGCCTGCTCTCGCTGCTGCCGGCCACCGCGAGGCTCACTGTTTTCCCCGGTGGCCACTCGGTGACGGAGCTGCAGCTCTTCACCTGGGCCGTGGTCACCGTCACGCTCGTCTACACGATGATCCCGCTGCCGCTGTACGCCAGCGTGCTCGCCGCCGGCGCCTACTCGGTGGCGCTGGAGGTGCTGAACGCGGCCGACGCCGACGGCAGCGACACGCTGCAGCTGGGCGTGCGCGCTGGCCTGCATCTCTGCCTGCACCTGATCGGGCTGCGCACGCTCGTGCTGGCCCAGGTTCACATGCGCAGCACCTTCACCACCGTCGGCCAGACCATGCTGACGCGCCTGCAGCTGGAGGAGGAGAAGCAGCTGAAGGAGAAGATGATCCACTCGGTGATGCCGCCGTCGTTGGCCAGCTGGGCGCAGCTGGAGATGCACGACGAGCAGGCGCTGCTCGAGTCGACCAGCTTGGCGGCCGAGCTGGATCGGCCGCAGCGAGCGACACCCGCCGGGCCCGAGATCTGCTTCCGGCCCTTCAATATGCGCCCCATGGACCCGGTCAGTATCCTGTTCGCCGACATCGTCGGCTTCACGCGCATGTCCAGCAACAAAACGGCTGAGCAGCTGGTCGGCCTGCTCAACGACCTGTTCGGCCGCTTCGACGAGCTGTGCGCGCTCCACGGCTGCGAGAAGATCAGCACGCTGGGCGACTGCTACTACTGCGTGTCCGGCTGCCCGAAGCCGCGAGACGACCACGCGCACTGCTGCGTCGAGATGGGGCTGGCCATGATCACGGCCATCGGGCAGTTCGACCGCGACAACGGCGAGGACGTGAACATGCGAGTAGGCGTGCATACGGGCCGGGTGCTGTGCGGACTGGTGGGCACGGCGCGCTTCAAATTCGACGTCTGGTCCAACGACGTTAGCATGGCCAACAAGATGGAGTCGTCCGGCCGGCCGGGCGCGGTGCACATATCGGAGCGAACGTACAAATACCTGCACGGCCAGTACCAGGTGACGCCCGGCGATCCACTGGCAGGTGAGTCCGGCCTCCAGGGGCTGCCAGATCGGTGGCCGAGCGCTGCCAGATCGGTGTCCAACTGCTGCCAGGGACGTGTCGCCGCTCGCCGCCGCCGCCGCCGCCGCGTTTTTGCGTGCTGAGGACCCCGACGCGGCCGCCCATCTCAGCGACTGTCGCAAGCGCCGCCTCCCCTCCCCCTCCCCCGCCCTCCTTCTCCTTCCCGACCTGAGTGTTGCGCTGGCCGTGGCCGCGGAAGAATGCGGTGTGACGGGTATAGCCGTGGCCCCACTTTCTTCGAAACGTGGATGGTTTTAACATCGAGTCGGGTTTGGCAGGTCTTCCTTTGCGTTACGACCTGCGGCGGGAATCTTGGCTTGTTACCCAGACGCTGCTGAAAAGCCGTTGTAGGCGACCGCAAGCGTGCTCACGTTGTTTGTTCATTATGTATCGGCGCCATTCTTTCCATGTTTCTAAGGCCGCCTTGTGGCCGGATGCATTAGTCTGAAAACCGCCGCTGTTGTAAAAATAAGCTTGAATTTGGTCTCGGCACCCATCTGCCAGATATCTCTGCGGTGCTTCCAAGCATCTGAGGAATGTTCGTAGGGGTTACGTGACCCGGTTCACGGAAGACGCCTCACGCCCAGGGCGGCAGGCTCAGACAGTCATCAGCGCTGGGCCCAACAGGATCTGGCTGCCGAGTGCCGTCCCAAAGAAACAAAGCGTGTGCCGCCTCTGTCGGTCTGAGGCCTATTACCACATGCACGTTGTTGTGGTCCGAATGCCTTGAGCCCCTGTCTGAAAAGTGATATCACCACGCAACGTATTTCAACTTATGTCACGTCATTGTCAATTATCTGGTTTACAACTCGCTATTAGTTTAACCCATTGCGGAACCTAAATTACTTGGTGTGGCTTAAATGCGCCGCGCGTTTTTTTTTTGTGTTTGTGGTGGACGTAGTTCATTTCACACCTGAGCTCGGACACGGTGTTCGGCCGAATCAGCGACATGCGTGCAAAAGTAAGGATCCAGTTCAGCTGTTGAATGAGAGAAATCAGCGATGGGCTTTGACATATTGCTGAGGTACATTTTCTTCTAAGTTACATTATGACCATCCCCGTGAATGGTAAGATGAAATACATAGCAACGGCTTGCCATTCCATCATTCCTCTTGCAACACGCCACTTCATATGACATTATTGATAAATTGTGATCCCAATGCGTGAACATCGGCGACACATGTCACAACGATCGTCCAAAATAAAGTGAACACTCCCAGCGAATTGGAATGCGTATCGTACATTCTTTCGGCTGCACAAGTCTTTTCAAGGAGACGGTCCGTCCTGGCGACAGAAGTGCAGTTTCTAGGTACTGGGCTCTCTAAAACACCAGAACGTCCCATGAGCCGTTGTATAACCTCGAAAGACCATTGGCACCCCGTGACAACGGACACCGGACCGATGGCCCGACCCGTGCTGACCGTCAGGGGATTGGCACCCGGTACCGATGTTGTGTCTCGACCCGTGCTGACCATCAGGGGATTGGCGCCCCGGACCGATGGTGTGTCCCGACCCGCGCTGACCGTCAGGGGATTGGCACCCGGTACCGATGTTGTGTCTCGACCCGCGCTGACCGTCAGGGGATTGGCACCCGGTACCGATGTTGTGTCTCGACCCGTGCTGACCATCAGGGGATTGGCACCCGGTACCGATGGTGTGGCCCGACCCGTGCTGACCATCAGGGGATTGGCACCCGGTACCGATGGTGTGTCCCGACCCGTGCTGACCATCAGGGGATTGGCACCCGGTACCGATGTTGTGTCTCGACCCGTGCTGACCGTCAGGGGATTGGCACCCGGTACCGATGGTGTGTCTCGACCCGTGCTGACCGTCAGGGGATTGGCACCCGGTACCGATGGTGTGTCTCGACCCGTGCTGACCGTCAGGGGATTGGCGCCCCGGTACCGATGGTGTGTCCCGACCCGTGCTGACCGTCAGGAGATTGGCGCCCCGGACCGATGGTGTGTCCCGACCCGTGCTGACCGTCAGGGGATTGGCACCCGGTACCGATGGTGTGTCTCGACCCGTGCTGACCGTCAGGGGATTGGTGCCCCGGACCGATGGTGTGTCCTGACCCGTGCTGACCGTCAGGGGATTGGCGCCCCGGACCGATGGAGTGTCTCGACCCGTGCTGACCGTCAGGGGCTATTTGGCCTTTTCGGGCAGTTGGCGATAACATCACTCCTTTGGTCATGTGGCGCCCAAGTGGGGCACGCTCCTCCCAGCTAAAGAGATGGACCGACGAAAATCCGACAAGTTCACAAAATAAACAAAACGATGCTAATTAAAAGGGCATTCATGTACTCAGATCCTGACATGCCCAGCGGTTTGACCTAATCTAGCGCTCCACACGGGGTTCAAGAGTCAAGATCCTATGGATGTAAGAAATAGCTCCCGAACTGTTCTCGGACTGTCCAACAAAGTGGCGTAGCCCATCAAGAGATTGATTCGACACATCCTGGTAAAACGGCATTGCTGGGCATGGCTAGGAAGTTAGGGTGTGAGCCACTGCATGTCCATTTGTGCACACTCGGTGACAGTTCACGGTTTTCTGTCTTGTTTTAATTGTTTTGAAGTGATGTGTTGACTGTCTGTGATCAATTGGCAACACTAACACATTTAGTTTCAAGCTAATGATTTCCGACCAGACATCTTCACCTCGGAACGAAACGCCAGTTCTGACGGCATTTCTCGTCAGTTGAAAATCGCTCGCTACAATTGCAGTGAGTTCACAAAATACGGAGAAAAGCACTCACAATGATTATCAAAGTGTTAATATCAAATATCAATGATTTAACATGAATGAATTATAGTGAATCGTACGGAAACAATAAGTTAAAAGGCAGCGTTTATTATGAAGTGATGACTATGTCAGTATACTTAAGCTGCTCGGAGGATTACACATTTAATATTCAGCTATAGAACGCTATTCTTAGTAAACATTAACCTGACCTAATAAGACAAAAATGCCTTTCAGCTCGTGGTTTTTCGGCATTATGGATCTGTGTTCGTCGTTGAGTTAATAACATTTAGTTTATTCGGACTCTTGAGGATAATCACAGCACAAATTATGAACTTGACCTGACCTGATCCGCCGCAAGTATCGTGTTTCTGACGTAAAAGAAATCCCTCTCCTGTCTCGTACCTGTTTAAAAACTATACGCCCGTTTTTCAGCTGTTATCAGTTCCTCAGGTGGTCAGAAAAGATTAGGACGATAAGGGATTTATGTGATCTATAACGTTATCAGGCTTCTGACACTGAACCTAAGGTTTTCTGGTTGGGATTAACCAGGGCTACAGATTGCCCCTTTTCGGATCGAGGGCTGGCTTTGAAGATAGTGGTAAGTTGGAGTCAGCCCGGCAATGGGAGCGGTCGGTGAAATAGCCCAGTTCAATTGTTGTATTTTTTTATTTATACCCCATTTTGATCAGGGCTTTCCGGTCGTTGGAGTCATCATGAGAAAATGCATATTTCAAAGGTGACTTCTGATGTGTGGAATACCCTATCTCTGGGCATCGACGGCCACCGATGTTCTGCCGCTAACATGTGAGCATGAACGGCCTCGACCTTTCGTCTCGGATAGCGACACGAGAGACCAGATGGGAACAATGGGTACTCGGGGTCACCGTCAGCAGCAGAGGCCTATATGGAGGCCGACTGTAGCAGGGTAGTCGCGTAGCCGACAGTAGACCGCAGAGCTGCATAATTTATTCGCCGGACTTGTGAATGTCAGATTGGCTGCAGGAGGTGTCGGGTGCGGTGCCTCACTCGTCCAGCCCCAGATAAGTCGTCCTTGGCAGTGTCTTATGCAGCCCACCAGCGGCCGCGCACGATGTGCGGCGACATTGCAGTGGTGATTCATTTAACAGTCGACACTTGATAGCCTGGAGCGTGACTCCCTAAATAAAAAAAACGGGAAGTTCCCATCCAGGGTGGTGATACAGATTTCCATAAGAATGTAGCAGGGAATCCTGACTGTAAACTATGTATTATGGTAGGTGGTTCATTGCACAGTACCTGAATATCAGGCGTTGATTAGCATGTTGAATGTGCATGCAAAATTAGAGCTTTGTCAGTTTCTGTTACGGGATCGTAAAAGCCTTTTCCTGTGTCGTGGCTTATTTCGCGTCGTTGGCAGAAACGATAGTGTAGCGATTACTTACAAAGGAATGCCATCTGCATTGTTTATCTGCTATGGAGTTCATATTACTGTGTAAACGAAAAAAACCCAGGCTCATATCTGGAAAGTAAGGCCTCTGCCTCAGCCTTGCAACGCTTCAGCATCATATTCATCCTAAAGCTCAAACCGTCATCATCAGCGTGACGTCATGCCCTTCCTTGACGGCAAGCATTGCAGTGCTTGTGTGTCACTGGGGCTTTACGGCGTGCTCAGCTGCTGACACCACGTAGCACTGCCTGTCTCTCACCCTGGCAGGAGGGACGGTCACAGCGGAGAATCAAACCCCGCATCTCGAGCTTCCAGATGCCCAGCTTATCCGCTTTCTTATCGGTCCCTGCATGCATTGCAGATCCGTTAGGCGTTCAAAAGCGCGCTGTTAGTCCCAACAGTGGCGGCAGTCGGTTTCAAAAACCCGCCAGATATGTCCGTTCCATTTTATCTCGCGCCCGTTTCGGCGCGGTTACGTTTCGAGGGGCGAGTGCCTGTGACTCCTTTCACATGACGGGTCTCACTTCCAGACGCCAGAGACCGATATGCGGCAGCATTATCAGCACGAACGGGCGTGCTCGCGGGCCCGCAGGACTGACGTTTCAGGTGTAACTGACAGGTTATTCGGGCTCCTATCTGGAACGAATGGGTGCCATCAGCGCTAGGTTCCGTAGCAGAGGCGTGTGAAGGACTTGAGGTGGCCGGTGGCATGCAGTATAATGCTCGGCCCAAAACGGAACTGCTGTCTGAGCGTACACTCAGCGGCTGCGAACATGCCGGCGTGGTGGAGTC